TGGGAAGGTCTCCTGTGTGCTCCTCCTCAGGGGCGGGCCTGGCCCCAGGGGTGACGCTCAAACCTAGGAAGTAGGGCAGTCTTGGCTTTCAGTGTGTTCTCTCTCTCTCTCTCTCTCTCTCTCTCTCTCTCTCTCTCTCTCTCTCTCTGTCTGTCTCTGTGTGTGTGTCTCTCTTTCCTCCCTCCCTGCCTTTCTTCTCCCAGCTCAGGCTCCCCTTCCCCCTCCCCCCTGGCTCGCTCTCTCCCTCCATCCCTCCCTAACCCCCTCTCCCTCTCTCTCTGTGTCTCCCTCCCTCCCTCCTTCCCTCCAGGACTTCCCCTCCCCCAGCACATCCACACTTTGCCAGCTCCTGTTTCACTGTCCCTGTCTGTACCATTTACTGTCTCCCTGCCCTGGGGACTCCAGGGTGCTGGTAGGAGGTTGAGCTGCAGGGAGCTTAGGGACACCTGGTGTCACCAGCCCAGGCTATGGACAGCCCAGGGCTCTGTGAGAAGTCCAGGTGGTATGGGCCTTGCCCTGAGGTGGGAGATCACTGGGGCCCTAGGCAGGTTGCCTTGGGGCCTGGGGGCACCTGGCAGGCTCTGTTCCTGCCCTGGGCAGCCCGCTGGGTATGAAGCAGAAGGGCCACAGCCTGTGAGAAGGAACCACAGTATGGGGAAGAGGAACCCAGATGCTGGCCCAAGGAGGAGAGGACAGTTTCTACTCATTGTGCAGTGTAGACAGAAGGAAGACACCTATGGGAAGGTGCAGGCCAGAGTCCCTGTCCTGTTTATCTCACACATGGGAACACATGGCCTGCACCTGCTTGGGACAGTACAGCACAGGTTGCAGGGCTCACGCAAGGGTCTGTCCCCTTGAAAGGAAGTGGTACCTGCTGGCCACGTGGACCCAGAGACCCTCAGGGCCCCATCCCCTCCACCTGGCTTCATGTGCCAGGACAGATGGAGAATGACAGTGCGGTGGCCCAGGTCTGGCGAGGGTGCTCCTGCTGGGCTCTGGCAACCAGCTGGCTCCCGATTGCTGAGGAGGCCTGGCTGCAGACCCGGCTCTAACCCATGGACTGGGCAGTGGAAGCAGGGGCGGGGGGGGGGGGGGGTTTCCTACTTCCACACCAGGTGGGATTGCTATAGGATTAAATGGCTCCCTGAGAGCCGGAAGTAACGATAAGCTAGCGTTTGGCCCATGTTTGTGGTTCATTGTTGGCACTGCTCCATGCCCACCTCTGCCCCCACCTGGGCATAAAGCCCTCAAAGGCCAGGTCTCTGGTTGGGCCCCTGCCCCTGGGGGAGAGCAGACATGGCTGTCCAAGACAGGCTGGGTTTGCATGCGTTGTCCTTGTGTGACAGTAAGGATGGGGAGGCTGAGGCATGGGCCCCCATGTCAATGGGTCTCCTCCCAGTAGGCACCGCACCAGACCTGTGCTCCAGCTCTCACTGTGGACTGGCCTTTTGCCCTCTCTAGGGTGATGTTTCCTTGCCCCATTCTCTGAGGTCATGGATAGGGGGTGCTATTGGCCTTCGGAGTAAAGCCCAAGAAAGGGTCTAAAGCCTACACCAATGTCCTCATCTCTCCTTGCTACCCTGAGTCAGCAACCCTTTCCCCCTCCACAGAGATGAGGAGTGGAGGCTTGGACAAGTCTGGACTTGCCACAGGTCACCCAGCTAATTAACTGCAGGGCTCACATTTGAACTCAGAATCCAGTACCCAGCCCCAAGCACAGGCCTTGCTGTGGTGCTCAGTTCCTCCTCTTCCTAGGTCCCGCCTTTGGGGAAGTCTAGAAAAAATGCTGAGTGCATTGTTTGCTCAAAGCCACAGCAGACCGGAGGGCTGCTACTGGTTGCTGCGTCAGGGTGACAGGAGGCGGGGCTCAGGAAATGGGCAGCGGGGGTAGACATAGCGGATCCCCTCTGTGGGCTGGCGGGGACAGGGCCCTCTTCACTCAGCTTGCTCTCTCCCAAGGCTGTCCGTGCTGTACCTGAAACTTTGCTGACTTGGCCCCAGGACGGGCCATCTCAGCCCCAGGGCTGTCTCGGGAGCTCTTCACTCCGGGTTAGGACTCTGATGAGCTAAGTCCCTTCAGCTGCCATATAACTTCTGGGGCCTGCTGCACACCTTTGCCTGGGTGGGTGTCTCATCCCCATTCTTTAGATGGGAACACTGAAGTGTAGAAGTGATGTTGAAGTGACTTTGTTTAATCACTTGTGAGTGAGTAAGCTGGGACCTAAAGCCAGGCTGTCTACAGATTCCTGGTCTTGTGCCCTTTCTAGCAGCTGGCATGAGGGTGGGGGTTCTGTCCCAAATGGACCCTGAGCTCCCCCAGTCTGAGAGCCCCACTTGAAGCTTGATGGTGTAATCTTCAGTGTCTGTTCCAAGGAGGTTAATCCTGTCTGGGGTATTTTTAGGCGGCCACAGGAAGGGGAAGCTGGTGGAGGGAGAGTGCCACTAGCCTGGGCTGGTTTCCTCAGGAAGGGCTGCCGGCCGCCATGTGCTCGGCCCTGGAGTCCAGGATCGCCCAGCAGTGCCATGCCTTCCCCAGCGTGAGCTGGGCACTGAGCCAGGCGGGGCTGGGGACCTGGGGACCTGGGCCCTGGAGGAGGCTCCACACATCCACAGGCACATGGCCGCTGCATCACAGTCCTGGGGAGCCCGGGGTAGGCTGAAGGGGTGGGCCGAGGGCAGGCAGAGCCTGTTGGCAGGGGGACCTTATTTTCCCAGTACTCAGGATGGAACCCAGGGCCTCCACACTGAGCCATATCCTCAGCCCTTTTATTTTTATTGAAACAAGCTCTTAACTAATTGCCCAGGCTGGGCCCAAACTTGGAATCCTCCTGCTGGGGTTTGTACCTGAGCTGGAGGGCACAGTTTACCAGAACCTGTGAGATCAGAGACTTCGAGGGAACGCAGGGGCCCCGAGCCTGGTGGCTGTCAGGGAGCCGGATGTATAAATCAAATAGAAGCCACATTTTCATCAGTGTAAATTTAGATATTTAAATGTGTAACATGGAGCTAGTTGAGAAGAACAGTGACCTGTGTGATAGACAGGCACTTGGTGTTGGGGCACCTAATTTATTGTTGTATATGTGTTTCCCCACTCACACAGCCCAGGTGTCACACGTGGTGACACCTGTCTAACACCTCCCTCCTGGTACAGACTCCAGTCTGCGAAGTTAATTACCTTAGCAGTATGGCCAGTAGGACTCCTCAGTGCCAGAATGTGGTGCGTAGCACATTTGAGTAGGTGGATTTTTAAGCCAGTTTTTAAAAACCATAGAATTGTTATTTTTTGCATTTTTCAATCAGATTTCTGAGAACTTCTTCAAGGGCCTGCAGGATGGAGGTTGAAAGCCACTCAGGAAACCCACCCTCCCCATTTTACAGATGGGAAGATCGAGGCGGGGTGGGGCAGGGCACCCACAGGGCAACAGAGGAGATGGTAGACACAGAAGTGTCATTGCTCCCCATAATTACAGGTGTGTCCTGTTCCCAAAGGCAGAGTAGAGAGGCATTGGGCCGACACCCTAGGTTAGCCTGGCCCTCATCCATACCACGTGTTGAGCCAGCAGCGTTGACCTTTCTCCTTCTCCTTCGCAGCAATGCCCTCCTAGCCAGCCGCCGAGGGATGGAGGGCTTCATGGACTCAGGGACACAGACAGATGCCGTGGTGGTGCTGTCCTTGGCCCAGGCTGCCGTGCTGGGCCTGGTCTCAGAAAATGAGCTCTTCGGAGCCACCATAAGCGCCGAAGCCTTCTACCCAGACCTAGGGCCTGAGCTGTCGGGGGCAGCCATCGGGGAGCCCCGGCCACCAGGCCCTAATGTCTACCAGCTGGCCTGCAACGGGCAGGCCCTGGAGGAGCCAGCGGAGGAGGAGGTGCTAGAAGTGGAAGCGGCCTTCGAGAAGCACACCCGGCGGAAGACCCGGCCGCCTGTGCGGCTGGTGCCCAAGGTCAAGTTCGAGAAGGTGGAGGAGGAAGAGGAGCAGGAGGTCTATGAGGTCTCCGTGCCTGGGGATGACAAGGATGCAGGGCCGCCCGAGGTCCCTGCCGAGGTAGCCGGGGGTGGCTGTGAGGCCCTGGTGCAGAGCAGCGCCGTCAAGATGATCGACCTCAGCACCTTCAGCCGCAAGCCCCGGACACTCCGGCATCTGCCTCGAACTCCAAGGACGGAGCTGGATGTGGCCCCCTATGACCCTCACTTTCCCGACCCAGGCCGGGACAGCTTCCCTGAGCCCAGCATGGCACTGCCTGGGCCAGAGGCCTTGCCTGCGGAGTGCGGTTTTGAGCCACCCCACCTGGCCCCCCTGAGTGATCCCAAGGTCCCCACCATGGCCTCCCCAGAGCCTGTGAAGCCGGAGCAGGGCTTTGTGTGGCAGGAGGTGGGCGAGTTTGAGCCAGATGCCACAGGCTCCACCGTGGAGCGCCACAAGAAAGCCCAGCTGGACCGGCTGGACATCAATGTGCAGATCGACGACTCCTACCTGGTGGAGGCGGGCGACCGGCAGAAGCGCTGGCAGTGCCGCATGTGCGAGAAGTCCTACACGTCCAAGTACAACCTGGTGACGCACATTCTCGGCCACAACGGCATCAAGCCCCACTCGTGCCCGCACTGCAGCAAGCTCTTCAAGCAGCCCAGCCACCTGCAGACGCACCTGCTTACGCACCAGGGCACTCGGCCCCACAAGTGCCAGGTGTGCCATAAGGCCTTCACACAGACCAGCCACCTCAAGCGCCACATGCTGCTGCACTCCGAGGTCAAGCCCTACAGCTGCCACTTCTGTGGCCGTGGCTTCGCCTACCCCAGCGAGCTCAAGGCTCACGAGGTGAAGCACGAGAGTGGCCGCTGCCACGTGTGTGTCGAGTGCGGCCTGGACTTCTCCACCCTGACCCAGCTCAAGCGCCACCTGGCCTCCCACCAGGGCCCCACCCTGTACCAGTGCCTCGAGTGTGACAAGTCCTTCCACTACCGCAGCCAGCTGCAGAACCACATGCTCAAGCACCAGAATGTGCGGCCCTTCGTGTGCACCGAGTGCGGCATGGAGTTCAGCCAGATCCACCACCTCAAGCAGCACTCGCTCACCCACAAGGTAAGGGGGCGCCGGTACCACCTGCCCTCCTGCCTGCCGTCATCTGGGATGCTCAGAGCCCTGGGTGAGACAGCTTAATTGGGGTACACACCAGCAGTTGTTGGTAAGCATTAGGATAGCCAGGCATGGCAGTGCAGGCAATTTCAGCACTCTGGGAGGCTGAGGCAGGCACATCACAAGTTCAAGCCCAGCCTTGGCAACTTAGTGATTTAGCAAGACCCTGTCTCAAAAAGGGGTTAGGGGTGTAGCTCAGTGCAAAGATCCTGGGATCAATCTCCAGTACTTCAAAAAAGAAGGTAGGAAGGAAGATTTTTACATGTATAAATTTATCTTGATGAGTATTAGAAATATAATTGAAATTAGATTTTTCTTTTTTGAGAGGCTGACGATCAAACTCAGGGCCTTACATGTGCTAGGCAAGTGCTCTGCCATTGAGCTACATCCCCACCCCCTTTTTAAATGCTGTTTTGAGATACAGTCCCAGTGGGCTTCCCAAGCCAACCTCAAACTTGAAACCCTATTGCCTCAGCCTCCCAAGTAAGGGATTACAGGTGTAATGCACAGCTGGAACTGGTTTTTTAATATAGTAGTAAAACTTTAGCTGGGTGTGGTGGCACATACCTGTAATCCCATCACTCAGGAGGCTGAGGCAGGAGGATCACAAGTTTAAGGGCAGCCTGGACTACATCACAAGACCCTGTCTCAATTAATAAATAGTAAAACTTTACTTATTAATTAAAAAGAATTATTTTAGGGCTGGGCCTGGTGGTACATGCCTATAATCCCAGCACTCAGGAGGCTGTGGCAAGAGGATCATTGTGTGTTTGAGGCCAGCCTGGGCTACATAGTGAGTTCAAGGCCCACCTGAACTACATAGCGAGACCCTGTCTCACACACACAAAAAAAGGTTCTGAGTGAAATGTTGGCAGAACCCTTGCAGGATGCAAGGAACACAATTTGAGAATAATTGACATAACCTAATCTTCCATTTTCCAGATGGGAGGCCTGAGGCCTGAGACAGACCAGGATGCCAGAGGGAGATGGGCTCCATGGCTAGAAGTGCATCCCTTGTCCCTCATCTTTACAGAAGTACATCAAAACCTGTGGCTTCCCTTTAGGAGTAGGCCAAATACATTGGGTGTTAAGGGGAAGACAGGGAAGAAAAGCATTTAAGACAGTGGTTCTAGAGTATAGCAAAGCAAGGCAGAGCGGTTTGTGAGTACAGAAGACTGTGTCCCAGACCTTACTTGGACCCGTCCCCACAGAGTGGCCTCGTTGAGGCCCTCAGGTCCAGGCAAGCAAAACAAGGTCTCTCAGGGCCCAAGGTCCCTCTCTGCCTCGTGGCTGACCCTTTGGGGCACTTCCTCCCTGCTTGTGATGGAGGAGGTGCTCCCCCTGGGGCCCAGCTATCACCGGGACATGATAGGGAGTGGGGAGAACAGCAGCCTCCCAGCCCAGCCTTCTCCAGCCCTGAGGGCCCCCTCTGCTAGGACAGGGATGATCTTGGCAGGTGTCACTGCCAGGGCTCCTCTAGTCGATGGGTGGCGGCTGCCTAAAGTGTAGCACTGCACGGATTTGGGGACTGACTGTCAGAGAGAGAATGAAGGAGATAGTCCATCTGCTGTTATATTTGACCTTTCTCCTCTACTAGAAGACTTCAGAATGCCCGCAAGTGAGCACAGTATTAAAAGATTAAAAAAATTTTTTTAAAGATAGAAAAGTACTATGAAGAAAACCTGAGAGCAAAAACTCAAAAGCTAATAAAACTGAAAACATCCCTAGCATCAGCCTAAATCTGTACACCATGCACATTATGTGCTCAGACTCCTGGGTGGCAGGGCCCCCTGGTGGCCACGTACGTGTATGACATCTCTCTAGGGTGCTAAGAGAAAGGGACAAGGGTCCATAAAATGTAGAATACTGACCCTGGGCCAAACCCCCAGCACTAGATACATAATAAAAAATGTTGTGCAGGACAAGTGTATGGGCAGTAGTTGTACCTGTGGACACAGATCTGTCTCATTGGGTTCCTCTTTTTGTGGGGGGGGGGCAGGTACTGGGGATCAAACTCAGGACCTCAAGCTTGCCAGGCAGGCACTGTGCTACATCCCTGGCCCCACTGGGCTCCTCTTAAATTACCAGCTCACCGAGGAGAGGATGGCTGCCAGCTTTGACCCCAACTCTTCCAGACTGCAGATGGAGCCACAGTGCTCACCCAGGGAAGCATGCGGACCCCAAGCCCGAGGTTCTCCCAAAGCTGATTGTCCCAGAGCTATGGGTGATAAGAATCATTCTGGAGACACCTGTTGAGAATAAAAGTTCCCAGGCCACCACAGTCCCCATGGCATTAGACTCCAGGGAGGGTCCTGAGAGCCTGCATGGGAACAACAACTGCCAGTGGCTCTTGTCACCAGGGAGGGTTAGAAGCTGCCCCTCAAGGAGTCCCTGGATGAACTCCAAGGTGTTGAGAGCTCGAGTCCATACAGTCCTAGGTGTGGTGGGGTGTAGCTTTACTCTCAAGCGGCGGTGGACCAGAAAGACCACCAGGAGGCATCAGTGAGGAGAAAAAACACACACATGTCCTTCATTGATGGAGTAGGCCAGGGCCACCAGGTGAAGGCTGTGTCCCTGAGACAGCAGGTCCCAGGTGCTGGATTGTAGTAAGTGAGGTTGAAGGCTATTTCGTGGATGAATGCACACCCACCCTGGTGAGCAGGCACCACCTGCTCAGCTAGAAACCAGAATCTGCCTTTCCAGAAGGCTTCCTGGAGTGAGGTCCTGCCGGCGCTCTCCTGGTGGTTTCAAGCAGGTGGTCCCGGTTGGGAATGTGCCTCTGGATCACCAAGGCCCTGAAGCCTTCCCCCGAGGCGAGTCACTTCCCCTGTAGTGGCCCAGGCCTGCCCTGACCTCGCCCCTCTCCCCAGGGTGTGAAGGAGTTCAAGTGTGAGGTTTGTGGCCGGGAGTTCACCCTGCAGGCCAACATGAAGCGGCACATGCTGATCCACACCAGCGTCCGGCCCTACCAGTGCCACATCTGCTTCAAGACCTTTGTGCAGAAGCAGACCCTCAAGACCCACATGATTGTACACTCGCCTGTGAAGCCATTCAAGTGCAAGGTAGGGTGAGCCCCGAGGGGAGGCTGGGGGGAGCTGGGGTCCTGGGCCCAGATGCTGCCATTGAGACTTCTCTGGAGCTGGAGACCTTGCTGAAGGTCGTGGAACAGAACCAAGGGCCTAGGTCCAGAACTCCGGGTGGCAGAGACCTGTGCCATTTCTGATGACCCCAGTGCAGAAAGGACAGCCTGTTTTTCTGCCTCTCGGGCCCCTGGGACCACACAGGAAAGGACAGCAGAGGCGCCATCGCAGTGGGCTCTGGGCACCAGCAGTGGGCGGGGGCTGGGCCAGTCCTCAGGCTGACAGCACCTGGGTGTTGCAGGTATGCGGCAAGTCCTTCAACCGCATGTACAACCTGCTGGGCCACATGCACCTGCACGCGGGCAGCAAACCCTTCAAGTGCCCCTACTGCTCCAGCAAGTTCAACCTCAAGGGCAACCTGAGCCGGCACATGAAGGTCAAGCACGGCGTCATGGACATCGGCCTGGACAGCCAAGGTGGGTGGGCTGAAGGCAGGCCACAAAGCAGGGCTGACTCTAGTGCCATGCCCTCAACAGCCCCTCATCCAGGTAGGGCCGAGGGGCGGCTGGCCAAGGCTGAGAGCTCCCTTGAGCAGGCTCAGGGCCGGAGTGGGGCGATCCAGGAGGCCTGGCCTGGCGATGATGGCAGGCATCTGTGTCTTCTTCCAAGGGCTCCTCTGGGCTCACAAAAAAAATAATAAAAGCAGTAACTTCCATTTATTGACTGCTGTGTAACTCATGTGGTCCTCACAGTGAGCCTGGTCTGTTATCACCCCAACCTACAGCTGCAGAAGCCGAAGGACAGAGAGTTAGGTAACTCAAGCAAGATCACAACCCAGAGGAGGTGACAGAGATAACATTTAAAATAAGCAGGTGGGAAAGAAAGTAACAAAAGGGGGACATGGCACCTGGAAAGATAAGGGAAAGCCCAGTAGGTTGCCATGGAGGAGCTATAGACATGTGGAGGGGGGTGAGCTTCCCAGCAGCCAGAGCAAAGAGGGTAACACAGTCAATTACTCTTCACAGTACCTGCCAAAGTGAGTGTAACCCACATGTGCAGGAGGAGGCAAATGTCCCACAGCTGGGACATCCAGAGCTGGGCAGCTCCGAAGTTGTTAGGAAACATCTGCTGTCAGCAGAAGCCCTTCCTCCCGCGTTGGTCAGCAGTACCAAGGCGCTTCTGCCATAAGTGCCACCAGAGCTGACCCCCAGTCTCTGTCCTCATTGTGGGCAAGGCCACCTCAGGAGTGTGTGGGAAGAGGGAGCCGAGGACGCTTGGTGAAGGAAGGCTCCTCATGTGGCCAGAGCTTCCTCAGCAGCAGCTGTGTGCGACCGTTTGGCAAAACCAAAACCGCTGCCATAACCCTGAGCTTGGCTTGGGTGCAGCTGACCGGGAATGCCTGGGGTTTCTGACAGGAGCTGATTTGGGTTTGGTTTTTTTTTGTTGTTTTTCTTTTTGGTACCAGGGATCGAACTCAGGACCTTGAATTTGCACAGCAGGCGCCAGAACCACTGAGCTAAATCCCTGCCAAGTTTTGTATTTCAGTAGTCTACTCAGAAGGCTTCTGTCAGGCATGGTGATGCATCCTTATAATTCTAGTACTAGGGAGGCTCAGGCAGGAGGATTGCCTCAAGTTCAAGGCCAGCCTGAACTACACAACGAGACCCTGTCTCAAAAAACAAACTTGTGGGCCGGCGATTTAGCTCAGTGGTTCTGGCGCCTGCCTCCCAAGCACAAGGACCCGAGTTCGATCCCCGGTGCCAAAAAAAAAAAAAAACCAAACTAGTAATAATAGTAATAATATTTAGAAGGCTCCTGCAGGCAAGGAGGTTCCCTGTTGGCAGCCTACAATGCTCTCAGTAGCCCCTTGCTCTTCATGATGAGCATCAGCATTGTGGCACTGTCCCAGATCTGGCTAGAAATGTAGGCTCCAGCCCTGCCCAAAGCAGCTGGTCAAAAAGATCCCTGGATGATTTTTGGTTTTGTTTTTGTTTTTTTGGTACTGGGGATCGAACTTGGGTCCTTGCACTTGCAAGGCAGGTGGTGGAACCACTGAGCTAAATCCCCAGCCCACTGGATGATTTTTATTTTTGGTAGTGGGGATCGAACTTGGGTCCTTGCACTTGTGCAGCAGACTGCAAAACCACTGAGCTAAATCCCCAGCCCCCCTCCACTGGATGATTTTTGATGCACAGAGATTTTTTTTTTTTAACCTAGGACCTTTGCACTGAGCTACATGTCCAGTCCTTTTTTAAAATTTAAAGTAGGGTCTCATCGAATCACTAGATTGCCCAGGCTGGGCGTAAACCTGTGATCCTCCTGCCTCAGCTTCCCACATGGTAAACTCTGAGCAGCAATAGGGCTTGTTGAAACAAATTGCTCAGTTCACCCTAGGAATTTCAGATTGAAGAGGTCTGCATTTCCAACAATTCCCAGGTCTCACCAACGCTGTTGTCAGGGGCCTCAGTTTGAACCCCTTATCTAGCCTGGGTCCTACAGCACTGGGTCTTGTGAGTCACCTGAGGAATTTTTTAAGTGTGGATGCCTGGGTCTGGACCCCAGAGGTTCTAGAATGTGGCTACCGGGGATCAGCACTTTCAGTTCCATGTGCAGAAATTTGAGAGTTGCTGTTCCACCAGACCCACCACATCACAAACTTCCGGAAGGACAGAGCAGACCTTGCCCTTGTAGAAATAATTAGAGCAATCCAGATACTGTCCCTACTTCCCTGTTCCCAGGTGGTCATGGAACAGGTCTTCCCAGGAGGCAGTAACTGGGGATGCCCAGGTTCACAGCCTTCCTGCGGCCACCAGACCTCAGAGTAGAGCGGAGCCTGGGCTGGCAGGGCTGGGCCCCAGCCTCCACCTCTCATGTACAGACAAAGGCCATATACACTCTTCGGGGTCACCTTGTAATCAGGAAGGTGGAAGTGGACCAGTGTCTTTCCCCAGAGCCAGCTGGACAGGACCGAGATATAATAGTGGAGACAGGGATCCCGAGGTGGCAGTTTTCCCAAGATACTTTCACTTGTTTTTAGAGCCATGACTGCCAGTACCCATCAGGGTATTGCGCTTCCTTGATCACACCCCATGGAAGATAGCACACTCCCCTCAGCTCTCTGGAACTCATAGAACAACCTAAGAGCTTGTGGTGGGCATTTCCTGCTGACCTGCTGGCCAGAATCAGGCCACATGCTAACTCCTGAGCCATTCATTGGTAGAGGGTGGGGTGGGGTTCCCTTTGACTCATGGCACCTAGCTGGGGGTGATGCACCCATGGGTGACATGTGGTTGTCACAACTTGGGTGACACTACTGCCATTTAGTGGCCAGGGGCAGGGGTGCTGCTAAACATCTTGCAGTCACAGGACAGCCCGGCAACAAACACTCCTGGCCCAAGATCCTCAGTATCAAGGTTGCAAACCTCGACATGGAGTTGTCAGGGCCACCCTATGGGCTGAGGTCTGCTCCCCCAAAACAGTGGGCAGGGCAGAAGACCCTTAGGAGGGAGCTACAGGACCCGAAGGTCCCACCCTGGTCCCCTCTGTGGAGTGGTTCTACCTGGGTTTGTTCCCACTGTAAGGACTCTATGCTCAGATTTCAACATGGCAAGATGACAAGAGCCCTCCCAGAGCCCCTGCCTTGTGTTAACCTACGTTGGGGGTGTGCATGTATGTACATGTGCATGTACACATGTGCATCTGTGACTGTGCCTCTGTCCCTGGAGGACCAGGCCCCAGAACACCATAGGGAGGGGCCGGTCTAAAGCACTAGTGCAGGGGGAGGTCAGGGAGAAGCTGCTCCCTCAGCCACTGGAGGTTCAAACCCTCTGCCAGCTGATGAACCTCCTGCGGCCGAAACCTTTGATCTGCCTAGGGCGCTGTGAGCTCTGGGTGAGATGAGGTCTGTGAAAGGCCTGGCATGCAGCATGCTCAGTGATGGTGTAGTGTTGTGGGACATTCCAGGAAGGGCAGCAGGCTTTTCACACAGCAGGGGAGCAAGGAGAAGCTGTAGAGGACTGAGGGTGAGGGACTTAGAAGGGACACTGCATTGTGACTCAAAGCCTTCAAGGCCAGGCCCGCCAGGCCCCCAAGAGCCCTCACTGTTAGCACAGCCCCTGCACCCATAGCTTTAGGGAGCCCAAAAGCCTGGGCTCTGAGGAATCTAGGGGGCAGGGGGCAACCCCTAGGGCAGTGTGCAGGCCTCACCTCACCCCTCTCTTGCAGACCCTATGATGGAGCTGGCAGGCCCGGACCCCTCGGAGCTCGATGGCCAGCAGGAGCTGGAGGACTTCGAGGACAACGCCTACTCTTATGGCAGCATGGATGGCAGCGCCGAGGCGGGTGCACTGGCTGGGCAGGCCATGAAGGAGATGGCCTACTACAACGTGCTATAGTGCAGCAGGCAGCGAGATGGGCGGGCAGCCAGGCGTGGGGGTGAGACCCCGAGGAGCTACTGCCCCACAGCCCAGCTGCCCCCCAAGTCCTCTGCACCCTAGGGACCTTTAGACCAAATGGAGACTGTACTACTGGCCTCGCCAGAGCCTGGCTCAGGCCTGGACATTCTGGTGAGGGAAGGGTCACTGAGATGCCCAGACCGGGTCTTCTCGGCCTGCTGCTGGGGGTGAGGGGGGAGAAAAACTAGCAGGGCTGTCTGGGGACAGGGCACAGGGCCATCTCAGGCCAGCAGAGCTGCCCCCAGGTCCTGACACTGCAGGGGGAGGTCCCCAGCCAGGCCTGTTTCTCTTCTGCACCAATCCAGGGATATCTGAGCCACCTGCTGGCCGGTACCGCCTGCCCCCGCCCTGCCCAGACCTGGAGCCCCCAGGCCCCATGCCCATGTGGTCACCCCACCCAGTCACCAGACAGCCAGGCAGGGCCCTCCGCCTTCTACCTCGGGGCCTCCCTCACGCCCAAGCTCCGCCATCCTTTAGGAAAGCCGGATACCAGGCCTCTAGCCGCCCTGAAGCTCTGTTTGGAATGAGCGTCCCTAAAGAGGATTTTGACAAATGTCATCCAGTTCTGTCCTGGTCTCGGGTACCACACAAGGCCCCCCTCCAAACAAAACCAGGACGCCCCTGGGTCAGGCACATGATCTGAAACAGATGGAGCAGGGCAGGGTGCAGTATCCCTGGGGACAGAAGAGGCCGTGCTCAGGGGAGGCCAAGGCCCACCTGTAGGGGAAGAGGGGACCTTAGTTGCTGAAATGGGGTTAGCCATGAGTTAGCAGGCACCTGGGAAAGAGCAACGTATTTAAAAAGGAAAATGAAGACCATAGAGGAAAACAAAAATTTTTTTAACAAATAGGGGTATTTTGAAGGTAATTTATTATTATTTTTTTCTTTGCAACGCAACTCTGTGTCACCTGTTACCCTTTTGGATGGAGATGCATTTTCTTTTTCCACATGTAAGCTTTCTTGTGTGCCGTGTGCTTTGAGCCTCCCAGTCCAGGGCAGCCTGGCCCACTGGGACACAGGCTCTGGGGACCAAGGCTCGCTGGCCTGGAGATCTAGCAGCAAGCCGGAGGCAGGGACGGCCGGGGACTCTGCTCTGAACCTGGCCTGCGCTTGGTAGGCAGGGCCACTCACCCTCCCTCGCCCACCCACTGTCATCACCTTCTGGGGCCGTGGCACAGCACATTCAGGAACTCCAGGGTGCCCAACTCTGCCACTCACCCCCCAGGCTCAGTGGGGAGGGCCAGGCAGGGCTGTCCCCACAGGCACAGGTGACACCAGGAGGGACACAGCCGGGCTGTCCCCAAAGCTATACCCCTCAGCAAAGGACCAGGCCAGGCCTCAGAGTGATGGTCGGATCAGTGCTAGGGTTAAACATGGTCTCCCGGTGTGGTTCCCCAGGTCCCAAACCCTACGCCCCTCCAGCCTCCCAGGTGCCCGCCATGATGACCCTCAGGTGGCAGTGACTCCGGTGTCACTGTACAAGACATTTTCTCCTGCTGAGCAGAAAGCATCACCCCTGCAAACTACCTCTTCCCACAATGTCTTTCTCCCCTGGTACCAAAAAAAAAAAACCCCTCCTCCCTCTCCCCCTCCTTGCCAGCGCCTAGGCGTGGTCCTGGAAGCCGGGCCTCTTCTCCTTCCCTCTCCTCCTGGCGCCCTGGCACTGCCCCTGCGAGGCTCCTACTTGAACGCCCCTGCCCCGTGCCTTGTACCTGGGCAACACAAAGGGAGCAGACAGCACACTCCAGTCTAGCGGGGTGGCCTCGGCAAAGCTCCAGCCCTCACCCCTCCCAGCCTCTTGGGTGACTTGCAGACTCCTGGATGGATTCCATTCTAACTTATTTTCACGTGTATACAAAGCGACCGTTTAGACCCCACTTGTGCAAAGCCCTACTGTGTTTTTATGTTCCTGTTTAAGAGAGAAGTTTACTTAGCAATAATTATAAATAAATGAATATTCTTTAGTGAGGTGACTATAAGTGCTTCTTTCCGAAGCTGGTGGGGCTCCACCACCGGAAGTCCCAGCGAGGCTTCTGGGCCCACACAGAGCAGAACCCGTCACTCTCCAGGGGATGGGGACCATCGCCGGCCCTGTCCCAGGAGTGACCATCTACAGTGCCAAGTGCAGGCAAAGCCCAGAGTTCCCACCGCTCGAAGAGAAAAGCTGCTTCCTTCCCTCCCCACCCCCACAGCCCCAGGACAGAAGCCAGCTGGCAGTGCCAGGCTGAGCTTCAGAGGCTGCCTTCTAATGACAGGCAAGCAGAGGCCTGAAGTCCTGAGCTTCCTCCAGGAAAGCCAGCATACCAGCTTTTCCTCCTGAGGCCAGGAATCTGATGTGACTACCCAGGAAGAAGGGGGCTGCTGGTGTGGGCAAGGGACTGCAGCCCATTCCAAAGTTACCGGGGCATCAAGGACAGTGGTTTCCGGCCAGGCAAGTTGGTACACAACTGTGATCCCAGCACTCTAGGAGGCTGAGGTAGGAAGATCATAAGTTCGAGCCCAGCTTGGGTAACTTAGCAATTTACCAAGATGCTGTCTCAAAAAATAAAAGAGCCAGGTGTGGGAACCTGAGGCAGAAGGATTACTGTTAGTTTGAGGCCAGCCTAGGCTACACAGTGGGTTCAAGGCCAGCCTGAACACAGTGAGACCCTGTCTCAGAAAAATAAAAAAGAGGGCTGGAGATTTAGCTCAGTGGTGCCACTGCCTGCCTGGCAAGTGCAAGGTCCTGAGTTCAATCCCCGGTACCAAAAAATAATAATAAAATAATAAAGAGCTAGGTGCATAGTGCAGGGCCAAGGCCATGGGCTCAATCCCCAGTATCACCCCACTCCCCACCCCATGCCCCCACAAAAAAAGATTCTCAGCCACAGGGTTTCAGGAGCCATGAGAACCTCACCAGTCTTCAGGTTACTAAGTACAATTATTTCTTGGTGTCGATGTCGAGTCAACTGCAGGACCCCCAAAGGATGGATACCAAAAGCCAAAGGTGCCGAAATCCCTTAAATAATACAGAATCGGTCATATCCTCCTCTATACTTGACATTGTCTCTAGCTGACTTGTAATACCTGTTAAAATGTAAATGCTATGCAGAGTTGTTACACTGTTGTTGGCATTTTCAGTACAGGTGCAGTTTTTCTTCCCAAAAAGTTCCATCCGATGTTGGTTGAATACACAGATGTGGAACGTTTGGATACAGAGGCTGACTATACCCATTTCATCAAGTAAAGATTGTTCCACTCTTCCACAGACATTTCACATTGAAGAGTAGAAATATAATCTCTGTGTAGAGAAAAGTGCTTTAAATTGAAAATGTGTAGCTCTGAAGCATCTTTTTATCACCTCTTCTAGTTTTGCCAAAATGTAAAAATGAACACTGGGAAGTTCTAGCCTGGTTGACAGAGTCCCTGTACCCACACACAGGCCCCAGGAGGGCCTGTTTTATTCCAGAGAAAAGAGCAAGTAGAGGCCTGGAGATGTTCAGGTTAAAACCAACAAGGAAAGAAAACATGAAGATCCAGTCTTTCAGGAAGCAATTCAATATCAGCAGAAAGCCAGGTAGAATGGATCATGCTAGGAAACCAGGAGCCTATAGGCCTGTGTCCCCAGAGTCCCAGCAGCAGCTCAGGCCACAGAGGCTCACATGGCCCGGCCCCAGTCCTCACCCTGTGGTGGCCCCAACTGGCCTGTTGCGGCCTACGCCAGCCTTACCCATCCCTACTAGATCACAGACTCTTCCAGGGCTGCTGCCCCCTTCCCCTCAGGAACAAACACAGCAGACAGTTTTGTGAAGAGCTTTTTAGTTGCTAAATATGGCACCGTGTGTTCCAAGGGCAATATAAATTACAGTGTGCAGGACATGTTGGCTGCTGAGGTAAAGCACACTTCCTGCCCCATGCTACCATGAGGGGAAACCCACACAATTCTCTTAAAAACATCTCATTTATAAAAAATGTCCCCTAGAAAGGCCTCAGAGAGGGCTGTGAAGCTCACCCATGTTTCATGGCCATGGGAACCACTGTCACTCGCCCTGCCCGGGCACTTGCAGCTGGCAGGGTCTCCTTACTGCTTGCCTAGTGCTCTGTCCAAGTTGCTCTTAATGGTGTCCAGAAAGTCTGTGGTGTTCAGGAAGTGCTCGTTCAGCTTCACGCTGGAGGAGGGAGACACCACTCGCATCGGGGCCTTCGAAGGCTGCCCAAGTCACCTGGCACCCACTGCCAAAGAACCACAGCAAATCCTGCAGGAACTTGGCAGGGTCTTTGTTTTCATTTTTCTAGGAGACAAGTCACTGGGCCCAGGCATTCCAGGGAGAAGCTCAGAGATGGCTCAGGAGGGGACAAAGGCTCTGAGCAGCTGGCCAACAGGGACTGACCACCTCCCCCGGCCCAGTCTGCAGAGGCCTGGTCTGAGCTACTACCCAGGGCTACATGTGTCCTGCCCATGCCCCCGAGCTGCCCCGACTCCTGGAAATGGCTCTGAGTGAGGTCCAAGCTTCCTCCCACAAAGCCAACCCCACCCTGTCCCTGGGGCCACGCACTTGCTCAGGCCGTGGATACAGCCTGCCAGGTCCTTGGTCATGGCTCCACCCTCCACAGTCTCCACGCACACCTTCTCCAGCATCTGTGTGAACCTGCAGGGACAGCAGAGTGAGCCCCCGCCGTGCTGGGCAGGACCCAGAGCCTGGCCCTGCTCCACACTCACCTGATGAGGTCCTGGTTCCCGTCCAGCTTCCCACGGTGCTCCAGGCCACGTGTCCACGCAAAGATGCTGGCAATGGGGTTGGTGCTGGTAGGCCGGCCCTGGGGACAGGCCTCGGGATCAGAGGAGAGTCCCCAGATGCAGCTGCCCACCCACCAGGGCCAGCAGCTTTGACCCCAGGGTGGATGGCATCCTGTGGCCACACACCCCACACGTACCTTCTGGTGCTCTCGATAGTGGCGAGTGACGGTCCCGTGAGCAGCCTCTGCCTCGATGGTCTTCCCATCTGGGCAGACCAGCACAGACGTCATCAAGCCAAGGGAGCCAAAGCCTTTAAGGTAGGGATCCATTTCTTAGTGGCCGCACCACAGCACAGAGCAGCAGGGCTGAGCCACCCAGGGCCACCCCTCCACCAGCTGCTGTAGCTGCCTCAGCTCATGCCACCACCCCCAATGGCACAGGGAGGACAAGGACTTCCTGGAGCTTCCCACCCTCGTCCTGGCTCTCCAGGCCTATCAGAGGGCAGAGTGGCCCTTGAGGGTGGCTAACATGAGCTGCAAATGCCATCTGTGTGTCACTTCCAGACACCCAGAGCCTGTGGCCCCCAGGACCCAAGACCCCTACAGAGTCCTGCAGCCTCCAGCAGAAAAATCAAAGCTGCTGCCAGCCATTTCCATGTTCACTTTTCTGGCTGCTGTTAAGCCACTTTCAAGCTCTGTGACTTATTTCCAAGTTTCCCCAAATCCAGATGCCAGCTCAAATGTTTTCTGTTTTTTGTTTTGCGGTCTTATGGATAGAATCCAAGGCCTCACACATGCTAGGTAAGTCCTCTATCACTGAGCTACACCCAAAACCAGACCCTCACTAAGTTGGCCAGGTTGGCCTCAAAATATGTGAACTTCCTGCCTCAGCCTATCAAGTAGCTTACAGGCTCGTGCCACCATGACTGGCTTCAAATGAACTTTTCTATTATCAAGGACCTCAGGGCTTTAAAACCAACAAAATAAGGACTATGAAAGCCCAAGGGAAGAAAGAGAGCAACTTCTATGGTTTGCCTCTAGATTTCTGCCATGTGTGGGAATCCCTTTTTCTGTGTCACCTGGACCTTCATGCATTCCTTATACACTTAACGTTTTTCATGTTTATCATCTGGCTTCTATTTTAATGCTGAGACTGAACCCAGGGCCTCACCTCCTGCATGCTAAACACAGACTCTACCACCGAGCTACAGCCCAAGCCCTGCCAGGCTTTTGATCCTTTCATCCCAGACAGGAATGTTCTGATGAGACAATCACTAACGTACTTCTCAAGATAAAGCCAAAAGTTTGCCATCTCCTCTGATATTCTCCTAGGTCCCTGAGGGTTACCAGGCACAAGCCACTCCTGTCACTTAAAAAGCATCCAGTCCTAGGGGGGATTTAGCTCAGTGGTGCGGACACCTGCCTTGCAAGCACAAGGTCCTGAGTTCAATCCCCAGTACCAAAAAAAAAGCATCTAGTCCTGGCCAGTTATGGTGGTGGACACCTACAATCTCAGCACTCTGGAAGGCAGAGGCAGGAGAACCATAAGTTCAAGCTCAGCTGGGACAACTTAGTGACTTAGCAAGACCCAGTCTCAAAATAATAAAATAAAATAAAAAAGAGGGCTGGGGATGTAGCTCAGTGTGAAGGCCCTGGGTTCAACACCTGGTACCACCAAAAGGAACAAAAAGCACCCAATCCAGCTTGATGCCCATCTCAGGCAGGAGCAACCTCCGAGCTGATGGCCTGGCCCTTTGGGACTCTAGTTCTCGTGTCCTTTCCTCTACAAGGACAGCTTTAGTAACACACCAGTCCAAACCTCCTTTGTGAGCCTTGGACTTAAAGATCCCAGAGAGGGGCCTTCGATGAGTCCTGCCACACCCTGAAGTTTTCTACCAGAGGGTCTGAAACTTCCCAGCCAGAGAGGAGCAACAGTGCACCCCTACGGGGACCAGGTCCCCCAAATACCCTGAGCCAGGATGTCCGACTGCACGTCTCCGTCATAGTTCTTGCAGGCCCACACGAAGCCACCAGAGGACTTGAGGACCTGGGCCACCATGTCATCGATGAGCCGGTGCTCGTACCAGATCTTATGCTTGTCAAAGTCCGTCTTGTAGTGCCTGGGGGCAGAGGGGCCTACTGTGTGTGTGGGGAGAGGATGGAAGCCAGGTGGGTTGGGGACCCTCCCTGAGCCTCAGAGCTGAGCCCAATGCATTGGGTGAGTAGCCTCCCTGAGGAGGATGGGCACAGCACAGGAAGGTAAGAAGTGTGGGGTCCTCAGGGAGCCACAAAGGAAGAGGCTGTTACTTGTCGAAGATCTCCTGGAAGATGTCCTTGAAGCGCCCATCATAGGCCTTCAGAATGGTGTTCTTGGTGCTCATGTACAGCGGCCACTTCTTCTGGATGGCGTACTGGAAGCAGCTGTGTGCGAAACCTGAGATAGACTGTGGGAGAGAGAGGGCCTGGCATGGTCCCTTGGCCTGGGGATTGCCAGCTCCCCCAAACAGAACCCCCACCTCCACAAGACTATATAGCCCCAGCCACCACGAAGTGGCCATCTGTTGTTTCTGCCAGCCCATTACCACTCTCCAAATTTCCAACTTCCAGAAGTGAGCAGCGCACACTCCCTTTTACTTTGGACAGCTACCTCCTCTGCCCTAATGCTCAGAGACCATGTGGCTGGGGCAGGGGAAATGCCCCCAGTTCACCAGCCCACTGCTAAACTAGACTGTGTCCCAACATATCCAATCAGACCCTTTCCTCTTGGCTTGTCCAGAGTCCTTCCTCCCCTGGGGCTATGATTGGCTGACAAGGTCACATGACCCGCTCCTGGCCCTCTTGCTAAAACTAGGAGCAGCAAAGAGGCATTCTTTTCCTTCTTTTTTTTCTTCTTCATCTTTTTTTTCCCCTTTTTTTGCAGAGCTGAGGGTTAAACCCAGGGCCTTCACAATGAACTACATTCCCAGCCTTTTTTCTTTCTCTCTTTTTAAAATTTTTAAGACAGAACCTTGCTAAGTGGCCTAGGATGGGTTAGAAGTTGTGATCCTCCCACCTCAGCCTCCCAGTCCTGGAGGGCCTGGTGTGTGTGTGGGGTCACTCTTCTAACAAAGCAGCTGAGCAGGCAGGGGATAAGCCTGGAGTGACAGTGTCCACCACAGAGGAAAGGGGTTGGGGAGGCGGCAGGGAAGGAGGGACTGGACCTACCTCATCGGTGTTGTACATGCCCATGCCCACGCCACCCGACGGGAAGTTGTACACCTCCCATTCCTTGGCCCCGCTGCCATCCTTTGGGCTGAAGACCATCTTGAACGTGCCAGCACGGTCCACGACAAAGTCAGTGGCCTTATACTGCAGAGAAAGAGGGTGGTTCGGTCAGGCTGGAGGCTCCTGGGACCTCCAGTCCCAGTGGTGTCCCTGCTGCCCACCTGGTCACCGTGTGCGTGCCTGCCGATGGTGATGGCCTTGGTCCAGCCGGGGACGAGGCGTGGGATGTTTTTGCAGATGATGGGCTCTCGGAAGACCGTGCCCCCGAGGATGTTTCGGATGGTCCCATTGGGACTCTTCCACATCTTCTTCAGCTTGAACTCTGGGGACAGAGATGAAGCACCCCCTGCAGCCCAGCCTCCACCCAGGACTTGAACCCTGAGCACAACGCACCAGACAGGCGTGATGGCGGCAGGGGGGAGGCAAGAGCCTCTCAGTGTGAAGCCACCAGTTCTGAGAAGTACTGGAGCCTGCACTATAAAGTGAAATCACCACAGTGCCTCGGCCTGGGCTGCTGTGTGTAGAGGGTCCCCAGTGCCTGGCGCATGGCAAGTATTCTGTTCATGTCATCCTCACAGCCTGAGTGGACGTGGCTGCACCTAACAGGCTCGCCTGTGATCCCCCACAGGGTGTGCCTGAGCCACTAAGGCTGTGGCCCTCTACTTCCTTCTCCATAAAATGAAGCTACAGAAATCCCAGAATTCAGAAGAAAGCCAAGAGCTCCGCACTGACTCCAGCGCTCTGTGGCAAGGCTGGCCTGGAAGGTCAGGAGGTGGCTGGAAGAGGTTACAGATGTTTCCTAAATGCCTCCGGCCAGCTCCCTAAGGCTGCAGGAGGAATTAGGGAGAGGATTCAGAAAACTCATTAAACTGTGTGTGTGTGTATTTGTGCCGCAACATTATGCAGGAGATTGAGCCCAGGATCTTGTGCATGCTAGACAAGCACTCTACCCCTAACCTTTTAAAAACATTTAGAAAGCATCTTAAGTTGCCCAGGCTGGGGCTGGGGATTTAGCTCAGTGGTGCCAGCGCCTTTCTGGCAAGCGAAAGGTCCTGAGTTTGATCCCCAGTGTGGGGGGGTTGCCCAGGTTGGCCTCAAACTTGCAATCCTGCTGCCTCAACCTCCTAAGTAGCTGGGATTATAGCTGTGCACCATGATACCCAGCCCTAATCCATCCCTTTCTTAAATTATCCACACATTGGTGCTCAAGAGCAGCCCCCAGAACCAGGTTCAGCAGGTGACCCAGGTCTGGTGTGGGCCCCTCTCAGAGCTCTGTCCATGACCTTCAGGGCAGGGACACTCTGTGACGCCAGGACAGTGGTAGAGGACATTAGCCATTATCCCCAGAGGCCTCTGAGGCTCCTGACACACAACTGCCCTCTGAACATCCACTGTGCCCGGGTTCAGACAGAGAGGCTGCCCAGAGAAGCCACTATTACCGTGACACCATCAACACTGCCTTCCCCACCCTCGTCTCCGACCCCCTGTGACTGACAACACTGCCACTGTTGGATCCACACAGCAACCACCCTGCGTGCTGCAGGACTCGGAGTCTGGGCTTGGCTCTGTGGACCTCACCATGGAGCCCGAGGCCACACCATAACCACGCCTCTCGAGCCAAGTCTACAGTGACCTTGGGGACCCGCTGTCCAGCAGGCGCTCCCAGAGAGACCTCCCGAGACCCTCGCACCTTCCACACGGGCCTCGTCGGGGGTGATGGTGGCACACTTGACGGCCACACTGTATTTCTGGGTGGCCAGCGCAGAGTCGATGGTGACCTGGTCATTGGTTTGGTCACGATGTGGGAGCCCGAGGTCGAAGTACTTGAGCTGGACATCCACATGGGGCAGGATGAGCTGGAGGGGGCGCACAGCAAGACATCAGCCCCAGTGACTGTGACCCAGGATGGAACACCAGGGCTTGAGAAATCTGGGGCTGTGGCAGGGGATACAGGTCAGGGCGAGGATGAGGGGAGACCATGAACGGGGCACAGCAAAGGGCACCTCGTCCATAATCCTAGCTGCTCAGGAGGCTGAGGTAGGAGGATCACTTGAGCCCAGGAGTCCAAGGCCACCCGGGGCAACACAGTGAGACCCTGGTCTCCAAAATAAATGGTTTGAAGTCATGCAGTTTGAGCACCAGCCTGAGACACTCAGCTAGGGGCAGACCCCTGCCTGATGACAGGACCCGTAAAAGGTCCCCAGAAGAAGGCAGAGGTAAGAACAGGACTGCTGCCGTCTTCTAGGATGACAGGCGAGGCCAGGGGACCTGCGACCTTGTGGGACTAGACGCCTGCTTGGCCAGCCACCTGGACAGCTGCCTCTTCGGGGAGAGACACTACCTTCTCCTTGATGAACTGCCAGATGATGCGGGTCATCTCGTCACCATCCATCTCCACCACCGGCTTTGCCACCTTTATCCTCTTGTCAGCATCTGGAAGGGGCACGCACAGCATGTCAAACCCTGGCCTCACCCACCCCGCACTGAGGGAAGGGAGAGAGGGAGGGGGAGGGAAGGGGATGAGAAGGGGATGGGGAGGGAGGGATGGAAGAGGATATCGGGGCCCAGATGCCCAGCACTAGCCCCCTCTGCAGACGCAGCTCCCTGACCAGGGTCTCTCACGGAGTATGGCCAAGCAGGATCAGCCAGAGAGCCACCTATGCCATCCCGGGGCAAGGGGCTGGGCCAACCTGGCTGGCAGATCTGGAAACTGAGGACGGAAAAGACCAACAGAGAGAATGGCAGCTGGATGGGGCTGACCAGGGCTCGGCCACCCAGTTCTGCAGGGTGGGCCGCACGCCTCTTGTCCAACACTCAGCTCTTTATAGTTTTCCTTGTAATCCTGTAAGCTATGCTGTGTGGCTGACTGCAGTACAGCCCAGAGTAACCCAAGGGGAAAATCGTTATCTCTACTTTAAATGTGGGGAAACTGGAGCTGGAGGTGTAGAGTGCTGGCCCAGAATGCACAAGGCCTTGAGTTCAAGCCCCAGCACTAAAAAAGAAAAAAAAAGTGGGGAAACGGAGGCTCAGAGGTTAGCAGCTTACTGCCCAAGGTTACAGAGCTGGAAAGCAGCAGTGCCAGGAGGACTTGGGCCTTGGCCAGAGGGAAGGACAGGCAGCCAGGTCCGGGCAGCCCAGGCTGAAGAGTCTGTCCAGAGCCGGGTCCTTTCAGAGGACTCGACACCAACTGTTGAGTGGGTCTTGGGAGGCAGCGCAGAGGGAACGGGGACCAGGAGGCTCTTCAAGGAAAGTCTGCCTCACAAGAAGTGAATATGAGGGCCGAGGATGTAGCTCAGTGGTTTCCCTGCCTGCTGCGCAAGTACAAGGATCCGAGTTCGATCCCTGGTACCAAAATTTAAAAAAAGAAATTAATTCCAGGGCCGAGGACGTAGCTCTGCGGCACAGAGCCTGCCTGGCAAGCACAAGGTCCTGAGTACGAAGTGAATTCCAAAGAAAACTCAGGGAAATGACCCATGTCATTGATCGGTGCTGGCCATCAGGGCCAAGGCGGGCTGGACCTCAGCCTGCAGCAGACTGGGCCACCAGCACAGAGCTCTGTCCATGGCCTGGGGAGAAGCAGTAGCCAAACCTCAGTTATCAGGAAATGTCACCCACGCCTGGGACCTGGGTGGGAGCAGGCTGGCAAGAACTCTGCCTTCCCTGAAGGAGCGCCCGGCACCTCCCTTAGAGCCCAGCTCCACACGTTCCTCACAGGTGTCCTAGAGTGTCTCGCAATGCAGCGAATCAGGTGAGGGGAGAAGTGTCTACCAGGGAACTGAGCCAGGGGCTGGGGCTGCAAGGACCTGGGTTCCATTCCCAGCACTGCAAACCAAAAAGGTACGGTCACCTCAGCACATATAAAACAAGAGACCAAGCCTGCCACACACCTATAATCCCAGCACTCTGGGAGGCTGAGGCAAGAGGATCATAGGCCCAGTCTCAAAATAAAAAAAATTAAAAGGGCTGGGGATACAGCACAGTGTGAAGGTCCTGTGTTGAATCCTTAGTGGCAGGGGGGAACATATACATACATATATATATAAATAAACAAGTGACCAAAGCCCAACAGATCTCAAACATCATTGTCCTACAAAACATATACTGATCATGAGCCACGATGACTCCCCTATCTACTAAGAAAAAGAAAAAACTCAAAAGTATGATCTGTTCTTTTTCCTTTTTTTTTCGGGTGCTGGACATGGAGCATGCTAGGCAAGCGCTCACCACTAAGGTACACCCCTACCCTTAAAAATCCTTAAATCATGTACAGCAAGAAAACTCACTCTCCAGACAAGTGCGGGCAGCCCTTCTGCGCAGAGGAGCCGAGGAACTGAGAAGCACGCCAGCGTCTGGTGGCCCCGCCCCTTCGGCGAGGAGGAGCTGCGCGCACAATTCCGCCGCTGTCCCCCCCCACCCCCACCCCGCCCCAAGAGGCCAAACCAGCCCTTGGATCCACACCGCGATGGGGCAGTGGGTCAGAAAGGACATTAATCTGAGCTCCAGAAGATAAAACAAGTGAACAAGAGAAAGAGGGCCTCTCTCAGGCTCCTCGGTGAAAACTGAAGCCCACTAGAAAAGTGAAGAAAATCTCTGCAATAAAGGCAGACCAGACCACCCTAGTTGGTAAGTTGGAGGGAACACCACCTCCCATCGGAACCTGGACTATCTTCAGGGGAAGGGCAGCTGGAACCTGCAGTAGAACCTTGCAGAGTTCAACCCTGCAGGAGGTCAGAGATCTCAACTTGGGCCTTGCAGGCAGAAATCAGCCTGAACCTCAGGGGACAGCTGCTGGCTTGCTGAGACTAACTGACTTAGATCTGCACACTGCTGCCCACGCTGTCTATAGTGACAGCAGAGACATGCCCTAAAGGAGGCCCTTTATTTTTATTTTTTATTTTCAAAGTAATTTTTTCTCTTTACTTTTAATATTTTTTCTACTTTTATCTATTCTCCTTTTCTCTTTTCAAATTTTTTTCCTTTTCTTTTTTCTTTTCTTTCTCTCTTGCCCTCTCCCTCCCACCTTGTTCTTCATTTCTCTCCCTTTTTATTCCTGTTCCTATCCTAATTCAAATTTCTTTTTTTCTTACATTTTCTTTTCTTCTCTTTTTCCTTCTCTTGATTGTCATTAGTTACAGTGTCTAGCCTCCCTGTTGCTGTTAGGTTGTTCTATTCTTGTGTTTGTTCTTTCGTTCTGTCTTCTCTTCTCTTCAACAACTTCCTAGAGTTTGCGTGATCTTCCTGTGCCCTCTGGCCTCACTTCTAACCTTTCCCTATCATACCTATCTACCCCTCCCTCCCCAACTCCTTCTAATTCCACATCCTGAAGGGTAAAGTTGTTATATTGAAGAGTTTATTCACTATAGACATATTTTGGGCTGGTCCTCGATTTTGATTTAATTCACATGTTTAAAAGTGATAGATTAATAACTACCACAAACTGTCATTTTTTAAACTGTGCTTGATGCTATTGTTGTTGCTGGTTGTATTACTTGGGCTTAGGTGTTGTGATTGATTTAATCAGTTGTCCTTCCTGGTTTACAGAAAACGAGGCAGCCTAAGAGTCATTAGAGACTCAAAGCCTAAAAGCGAGATATATCTGGAAGACACTTCTGAGAAAAAAATCATTCCATAAAGGTTCTAAATACAAGCAACAAAGATACTTACAATAAGCAATATTGAAGTATCAACCCAGGAATTGAACCAAAAACAGTACCAACAACAAAAATAGAAATGAAGAGACACCTAAGCAAGGCACAAAATCAGGCTACCAGTTCACCAAAGGCAAATTCTGGGGGAAATAAGGTGGAAAAGTCTGATAATCAATCACCTGGACACCCTGCACTGATGGCACAGGAAGTAACAAAACAGATGAATGAAGCTCTAGAAAAATTCAAAAGAGAAACAATTTCCCACATAACCACAGAGATGATGAGCAGAATGAAAGACATGATTAGAGACTCTAGAACAGAAACAGATAAAAAAAATAGATGAGGTCAGGACCATGATGGAAACCATGAATGCCTAGCATAGGAAAGAAATGGAAACCACGAATGCCCAACATAGGAAAGAAATGGAATCTATGAAACAAATTCAAACAGATATCCAGAAGATTTAAAACTCTATTGAAAGCATTCGCAGCAGAATGAGCTAAGGTGAAGATACAATATCAGATATAGAAAACAGGATTGTGGTCAGTGACCATGAAAAGAGAGATCTCTTAAAAATAGTAAGGGACCAGGCCAGGACCAAGAGAAATTGATCCAGCAGCTCCTAGACGATGCAAAGAAGAATAATATAAGACTGATAGGAATCCATGAAAAATAGGAGAAAGTACAAATGACACAAATAAGTGCAAACATATTTTTTTAATTTACAAAGAATCTTAAAGATAATTCAGGGAGAAAAAACAGAGGCCCCAGGAGTGGGTTTGGGTCAGAGGCAAGACAGAGCCCAGGGCACTGCCTCAGGGACCACCCCAGAATTCTTTCATGGTTCAAATACAGAGAAGGAGGAGCCAAAGGCAGATGGGAAATAGCTCATTTCCTAGGAAACCAAAGGGCCACTCCACTGCCCTCCCAGATGCCATGAGGATTTAGGACTCAAGCTACTAAATTCCTTCACTTCGGTCTGGAGTCTACATAGGAAGGGCCCTGGGACCTTCAGAAGATGTGCTGGGCTACTGTTTGCTTGTTTTGGTTTTGTTTGGGTTTTTTGGGGGGGCGGGGCACTGAGGCCTTCACAATGAGTTACATAGCCAGCCTTTTAAATTTTTTTTTTAATTTTCAGAGAGGTCCTTCCTTAAATCGCTAAGTTGCCCAGGATGGCCTCGAACTTGCCATCCTCCTGCCTCAGCCTCTCAGAATCCTGGGATTACAGGCAAGGTAGCTTAGCTTTTATAAACAAACATCTTCTATGAGTTGAGAACAGCTAATCAAGTTTTTTAAAAAACTGACCCTGTATCATAACCAAGACTCCTAAGGTGGAACCCATCTGTGCACCAATTCCAAAGGTTTCAGTCTCTACCTGGCTCCAGGGATGGGGGCTTCAACCCGGAAGCTCAGGGTGCCCCACCTCCTCCGAGGGGACTCTGATGTGCAAGGAGGTGTTGAGTCCTCTGAGAACAGAGAGTTCTAAGCATCCTTCCCACTGTATACTGAAATGCCTAGGTCATGGCAGTGCCACCTAACAGGGAGGACACATTGGAGGGGGACATCTACAGGTGACAGTTAGGAGCAAGTAGCACTGTTACCCAAGTCAGGAGGCTGCAGCCTCCCTGAAGCCGAACTCCGGAGCAACAGGGACAGAGATGTGTGGCCAAGCCCCCCCAGCAGGGACTCATCCTATCTGACCCAGGCAGTGGGTTTGTAAAATATTCCCTGGGGACCAAGGTTTAAAATTAAGGAGACTGAAAAAAATATTAAGGAGACTGAATGCACTGATAAAGCAAATTACAAATAACAGTTTTAATAAATGGGCAAAGACTTGAATAGATATTTCTGCAAAGATGATATACTAGATGATGTACTAGAGACCACAAGCACATGGAAGATGGTTGAGATGAAACTTGTTGCTAGGGGCTAGGGATGTAGTTCAGGGGTGCAGTGCCTGCCTGGCAAGTATGAGGCCCTGAGTTCGATTCCTGGTATCAAAAAGGAAAAGAAACTTGGTGCTAGAGTGTTTGGCCAGTATGCACCAGGGTGCAATCTTTAGCACCACCCAAAAAAGATGGTCGAGATTACTGATTATTAGAGAAACACAAACCAAATCCACAATGAGATACAACCCTCACATACAAGATGGCTACTATCCAAAAAAAAAAAAACCACACACACAATAAGTAATCACAGTGGTAACACATCTGTAAGTTTCAGCTACTCCAGAGGGTAAAGGGGGATTAAAAAAAAAAAAGCTAAGGGGCCAGGGATTTAGCTCAGTGGTACCACCACCTGCCTCACAAGCACAGGGTCCTGAGTTTGATCCCCAATACAAAAAAAAAAAAAGAAGCAATTGCCAGGGATGGTGGCGCACACCCATAAGCCCAGCACCCTGGACACTGAGACAGAAGAATTGCCATGATTTCAAGGCCAGCATAGGGGTTACATAGTGAGACCCTGTCTCAAAAACAAAACAAAACAAAAAAAAACAAATTCTTTTTCTCTTAAGTAAAAAGGGCTGGGAATGTAGCTTAGTGAGAAGGCCCTCCATTCAATGCTCAGTACAAAATATGGTAGAAAATAGCAAGTGCTGGGGAGGATGTGAAGAAACTGAAACACTTCTGCCCTGCTGGTGGGAAGGTAAAATGGTACTACTGCTGTGGAGAAATAGTATGAGGAGTCCTCAAACAATTAATTCACTAAAAAACCTATGCCCTAACAATTCCCCTTCTAGGTACAGGCCCAAAAGAACCAGAAGAGATGCTTGCACACCCTCGTCCTTAGCCACATTGTTCATGTCAGCCAAAAGCTGAGAGCGCTACAGCTACCAAGTGAACAGACACAGTGCTGGGCACACAAATGTCAGGATGTTGTATAGACTGAAAAAAAAGATGGAAATCCTGTCACTGCTACACCATGGGTGAACTTGGGCGTCACAAAGCACAAGCATGGTGTGACTCTACTTACAGAAGGTACCTAGGGGAGCCAAATCCACAGAAAGAGAAGGTGGAAAGGGGCTGCAGGGATTGGGGACAGGGAGGACAGGGGTTACTGTTTAATGAAGTCAGAGTTCCAAGAAGTCCAGAGATGGCCAGGGGTTGACACATACCTATCACTCCTGCCCTGAACACTTGAAAAACAGTTAAGAGGGGCCGGGGATTTAGCTCAGTGGTTCCGGTGCCTGCCTTGCAAGCTCAAGGTCCCGAGTTCAATCCCCGGTACCAAAAAAAAAAAAAAAAACAAAAAAACCCCCAAAAAACAGTTAAGATGTTAAATATGCTATGGGTTTTTTACAAAAAGAAAAAAAAAATTAATACAAGTAAAATTTAAGTCAGCCCCTCCCTGCAAAATGCAGGAGATTTTCACATAAAAATCTAAACTTGAAGAATGAGGTGCCCCCCTCACATGCTGGACAGGGCGGGCTGGGTGCCCCAGGTCTCAGAGCTTGAGACCCCTGGATATCCTTACTATGAAGACACGGCTGCGCTGTCCCTCTCAGGGAGACAGGGGTGACAAGTAATCTGAAATATAAGAAGCAATACAACCTCCCTGCAAACCTCCAGTGACACCCGCCAGGAATCTCCACCTGACTGTGCTTTTGGCAAGAGTGTGGAAGAGAATTACACCAGTCACAAGTGGCCGTGGGTGACTCTCCTCCCCCTCGCCCAGACAGAGGAGAGCTTTCAAAACAGTCCTGGTTTCTTTCAGATGTGTTGCCTGGATCTCCCTCCCCAGGGTGTGCCTCAAGCAGAAAGGCTTCCTCCACATCCCAGGGGCTGTGACTGTCAACTCCTACCAGGTCCGTGAAGTCAGGGGGGGGGTCCCGTTAAAGTGGAAGTCAGGCACGGCACTGCTCTCAAAACCCCGAAAAGCCTCCTTTTCCACTCCCAGTAAAGGCCACAGTCCTCAGAAATGGCCTAGAAGCTGGGGGTGTGGCTCAGCGGTACAGCAGGTGCCTGGCGTGTACAAGGCCCCCGGGCAGCCGGAGCCCTGGGGGACCACCAAGGAACCTCATTTCCGGTCACTCACCAGTGCAGCTGAACCACCCCTGGCTCTTGCTCCTGCTCCCCACCAAGGCCTGGGCACCTGCAGGTCCCTCTTCCACTGACCCCTAGACAGCCTGCTTCCTCCCTCCTCCTTTCTTGCACTGAGGTCTTTTCTGGCTGCCCTATCCACACACACACACACACACACACACACACACACACACACCCCTTCCCTTTCTATTCTTCCCCTTAGCTCCTGTGACTATACACTGCACTATCTTGTTCACTATCTGTCCCCTCCTGGGAGTCCTTGCCACTCTGCCACTCTTATGCCAGCTGTGTCCCCAGCACCTTGCCCAGTGTCCAACAAAGGAGCACTACACTTGTTGAAAGCATAATTGAAGGTCAAATTATAATAGCTCGGGCAGCTCCCACCTTCCCGCCCGCCCTTCCTCCCTCCTAGGGGCGGTGCCACACAGGGCCCTGAGTTCCCACCAGGAGGGCAGAGGGGTGAGCAAGGCCTGCCAGGCCATGGGCCCCTCGCCCCAGACACTCACAGCCAAGTATGTTCCTAGTTGGAGACTGGGGCTGGACAGTTCTGGGCAACAGGGCACATGCTCAGCATGTTCAATCCCAGCAACAAAAATAAAAGGAATCTGCGGACATTTGTAACATGGGTCTACACAGCAGAAACTGGGGCATCCCCCAGACCCTGGCTTCTGGCAATGAGAAGGCAGTCTCCAGCACTGCACACCCTCAACCTCACACAGAAGATTTGGGGGCAGCCCCATGCTTCCCAAAGGCCTCCCCTTAACACCTACTGGGCCTGAATGCAAGCTCCCAGCCCAGCTGAGGAAGAGGAGCCCTGGAGGTTGGAGTAATTGGAGTCTTATCTGACCCCACTGAAACAAGGCTCAGCAGAGAACTTCTACAGCCATATCAGCAAAACAGTCACCAAATAATTTGCCCTGGAATCTAGGAGTGCAGGCAAGCACCAAGAAAGAAGACTTTAGTGTTAAGGGGCAAGGTGAGAAAATTAAGTCATTCCTAGCTAGGAGCAGAATAAAGGAAGGTGAGGGAAGTACTCCTGCCTCAAGCTCAAGCTTATCAGACTCACCAGCAGCAGTCACTGGGTGCTGAAGGTTACAGAGACACGTGTGGGAATGACCAGAGCGCAAAGACACAGGACCTTTTTAGCCAAAAAATATTCTTTCCTTGTCCTCAAGGGGAATGCCAATTATCTTGGTTCAGCTGTGTTGCCAGGTAACAAGGTGGAGAGGTCTAAACTGTAGAGTCTGATATCCACCTCAAACAACAGGTGTTTGTTTTCATCATACATAGCCACCCTACTTGGGGACTTCAGGAAGGACCGGCAACTGACTGCTTTTTTCATCTGTATTCAAATTCTTGTTAGTGTAGTTTTCTGTTTTGTTTCTCTTCTTTACCATCAATGCAGAAAAAGGGGAACAATTGGAAATGTATCTCACATCTATCACATGCTGCTGAAGGCAAATCTTTGGGGTCTGGGGCCCTTTAAACCCTGGAGTTTCAAGGCTGACCCCTTAGAGAAAGATCCTGGAGTAGGAAAGAAGAAATGTCCCCCTTTCTCCTTGGCAGGGTGTGGGGGCTGGGCCCCAGCTCTGGTCAGCTGCTCCTATACAGGTTAAATTAAAGATTACCCACCCACTGGGCCAGGACTAGCCCGGGGCCCCACCTTCCCCCTCAATCCCCGAAGCGCTCTGGGCCAGGTCCGTAGAAGGGTTTCCGTGGCAACAGGCATCCAAAAAGGCCCAGAGACCTACATTGTTCCTGCCTTTTGCAGCAGGGCATGGGGTAGCCAGGGAGAGGAATGGACCGATGCCCACATGCCAGGCTGGGCAGCTCGCGGTGGTCTTGGAGGCTCAGGCTAAGTGCCGCTTATTGTGCCTTTTCTCTCCCAAGCAAGGACCTGAAGGTGGCCCAGACGCAGCTGAGCGATCGGAGAAAGCCACACTTTGCGCGCGCTCGAGGCCAAATCGCGGCCGGGTTAGCCAGGCAAAACCTATGAACCAGCCGATCTCAGCGGGCTGCAAGAAAAGGCCAGGTCGAGCCAAGGAGAGGGCCCCGGACAGCGCCTGGGAGCAGCCACGGAGGAAGGGGGGGGTGGGGGGTGGCAGCCGAACAAAAGGGAAAAATGAAAAGGGCACTCCCCCAGCTGTCGAGTAGAGGCTCCAAAAATAGCTGACGTGGGCCTGACGGCGAGGAGGGACCGGAGCGCGCCCGGCAGAAAAGGAAGGGGAAGTGGATGCCCCCCTCCCCGCCTTTGTCCGAGCTGGGAGCCCTAGCGCTCTCCGAGGGGTCCGGCTGGGGCTCCAGCGCCCCTGGGGTGCTCGTGTCCCTCCACGGGCGCGGGGCAGCCCCGGGCCAGGAAGCCCTCGATTCCCCTGCCCGTAATGCCTGGGGGCGCGGGGCAGCCCAGAGCCCGGCCGGCGCAGACCTAGCCAGCACCCAGCTACCAGTTGCTAACGGCCCTCGAGTCCCCACCCCGGCGCGTGGCGCGGCCCGGAAGCGCGAGGCGGGGACGCGCGGCGTGGCGCCCCCGGTCTTTGTGGGCCCGAGCCCTCCGTCCTCGCGGAGTCGCCACGTCGCGGCGGCACGGAGCGCGCGCCCGCCCAGACCCTCTGCGCGACACTCACAGTGGCGCCGCGGCGGCTCCTGCAAGCCAGGGTTGGTCAGGGCGGCCGGCGCCCAGGCCGGCCCGGGGCCCGAGGCCCTAAGGTGCGAGCGTGCGACCCGCAGGTAGCCAGCCATCGCGAGGGACCAAGGAGACTAGGGCTCCCGCGCGAGCCACCCGCTGCACGGCTGGGACCCGGGAGGCGGGGACGGGGTGGGGCGGCCAGGACGCCCCTATTGGACCGCGTGGGAAGGGGCGGGGTCAGTTTTGGCCACACCCCCACACCCCTCTTGCCTGGCTGGAGCTGGGCTGCCCAGGCTCCTAGAGCTTCCTGGGCGCGGCGGAAGCCCAGCTCCAGGGCCGCTACAGGCTGGAGACCCGAGCCGCGAGGTGCCAGCCGCTCCACGACGCCTCACTTCGGCCAGACATGTCCCCTTAAACCCCTTTGTCCTCCCCTTTTGCCTGGCAGAGCCCCGAGGTGCATTAGCCCAGAGTGGGTTCTGCGGAGTTGTTGATTTTGTTTGTGCTGTACTGGGGACTGATCCAGGGCCTTCACCCTGAGATCCATCATCAGCCCTTTTTTATTTTTCTTTGGCCACACGGTCTCTCTAAGCCGCTAAATTGCTTGGACTGGCCTCAAATTTGCGTTCCTCCTGCCTCAACCTCCCTTTTGCTGTAAAAGATTATTAAAGTCTGAGACTCGTGTTACTGGTTGTGGGAACATTTTATAAACAAGAAAGATTGAAAATGCAATGATAGACTGCTGGGATTACAGGTGAGAGCCAGCACGCCCCATTGAGGGTTCTGCATTCTTTACCCAAGACCAGACTGCTTATCTCCAGAGTCCCTTAGCATAGCCAGAGTCTGTTTTCCCTCTGCCAACCGGGATGTAACAGGAACAGGGCCACCAGGAGACCCGGTGACACTGTCTGTAAAAGCCTTGGGGCTGGGTTCGAGACAGGGAAGCACTCTACTGCCCGGGAGACACCTGAGCCCCAACAGTGCCATTTTCCCTGGTTGGCACGTGAGTGTCAGGGCTGATGGGTCCTGCCATATGACCGAATTCTGTTCCCTCATTTTCTTGAAATAAGACAAAAGCTGAAGACAGGGTTTTATTTGGAAAAATCTACCAAAGACCCGCTCCCTTCCCAATCACTCCAAACAGGACAAAACTTCCTGTCCCATGTTCTCACACACACACCCCCATCCTCCCAGTCCCCCCACCAGTGGTGCTGGGTCAGATGGGGCCAAACCAGGAAGGGGACCTTGAACTACTGACTTCAGAGCTTCCGTGTGGCAAGTTACCAGCCTGGCGCAGCTGCTGCTTTGGCCCTGGGGTCCAGTAGACTTGGTCCAAAGGGAAATGGTTTTGCCCTCACCACCGCCAAAGGCTGAGGCCTCAAAAGCCTAGTATTGGAGCTGGGTGTGATGGCACACACATGTAATCCCAGCACTCTGGGAAGCTGAAGCAGGGGAATTGCAAATTTGAGGCCAGCCTGGGCAATTTAGTGATTTAGCAAGACTGTCTCAAAAGAAAAAAAAAATCTTGGGCCGGGGATTTAGCTCAGTGGTTCCAGAGCCTGCCTGGAAAGCACAAGGTCCTGAGTTCAATCCCCAGTACCAAAAAAAAAACAAACTTAAAAGGCTGAGGATGTAGCTCAATGCAAAGGCTTTGTGTTCAAACCCCAGTACCGCCAAAAAATAAAATAAAATGACCTAGTATTTTCCCAGAGTGTCCCAGAACAACCTGATGTCCCTTTCACTCTGGTCCCAATGCTGTTGGCTCAGAGGTCTAGTGGAGACCATGAAGCCTCAGGCCTTCAGCTTTCATGCTAATCTGTTGTTACCAGCGAGCTGCACCTGAAGTTGCGGAATGGAAGCTCGAGGGGCTTTCCTACCCAAGGAGCCCCACTCAGTTCTCTGTGTGTCTACTGCCCACATTGCCACTGCCATCCACAGGGCTGCCTGTTTCGGCCTGGGGTCTCAAAGGCCTGGCAAGAGGCTGTGTCCCAGAATCTGGCCTTTGCCCCCTGAGGAACCTAGGCAGGAGCCTTGTGTCAGCACCGAAGCAGCTGGGACAGAGTCATTATTTCTGATGCTGGGGATTGAACCAGGGCCACCTGCATGGGAATCTAGGGTTCTGCCCCTGAGTCTTTCCCATCCAGTGGCTCAGGGAAGTTGGGACATTTGCTCAGAGTCACACAGCTGAGATGCAGCAGAACTGCACTTCTAACCCATGTACTTGGCTCATACTCCATTACTCTTTTAAGCAAAAAGTGAGAAACCAGAACCTCTGTTACTGTGCTTGCCTGGAATTCCTGGTGGTGATAACTATCCACCTGGAAAGCCACTGGAAGGCAGAGAAAGAGCACACTTAAAGGAAAGGGCTGACACCCCGCAATCTAAGGTCAGTGGACTGGAAACTTCCACCTTTTCACATTTTGTTTTGTCTTGTTTTGTTTTGTTTTGAGACAGGATCTCATTATGTAGTCCAAGCTGACCTTGAACTCTCTATGCAGCCCAGGCTAGCCTCAAACATGCAGTAATCCTCCTGCCTCAGCCTCCTGAGTGCTGGGATTACACCGATGCTGGCTTCCACATTTTTAAATTAAACTTTTGTTGTTGTTGGTCATAGTACTAGGAATTGAACGCAGGGTCTTCATTCACACTAACATACATCCCTACCCCTTTATTTATTTATTTTCATTTTTATATAGTTCTCACTAAGTAGCCTGGACTAGGTTCAAACTTGTGACCCTTCTGCCTCAGCCTCCCAGAGTGCTGGGATTACAGACATGCACTGGGCTCCATTTCATTAAGTCTAAATCACATACATGGTCCCTGAGGCAACAAAATGTCTTTCACTCAGTCCCCACCCTCTTAGAGATGGACATAGATGCAGTCACCACAGACCTGGGGATAATAAGAGTCAGTTTTGAGGACATGAGGGGCATCTGACAGAATCACCTCTGCATGGGGAGCAGCCCTCCATCTGCTCCTCGGGGTTCTGAGATCCAAGGAGGCAAGGAGAAGGCAGCAAGGGCACTGCACCAGGCCCACACAGCAGGGCTCTCCTTCCCTGGAGCATTCTCAGACAGAGGGCAACATCTGTCAACAGCAGGAAGGGGGTGCAGGGCAAGAAGGGGTCAGGCCTGGGGAAGGGGGACCCAGCAGGACCTCCAGGAAAGAGGGTGTGGAGATGGGGTGGGGGAGGGAACCTGAGCTGCCAGGAGGGGGCGTGGCAAGGGCCAGCCTCAGGGTGACTCAGATTCCATCTGGGGACTGGAAGCAAGGCAATGCCATTATTAGAAGTCGGAAAATGGGAGAAGGCGGAGAGGAGGGCTGGATGGCAGAGCTATTTATGGTCATCTCTTCATGCCTTCTTCGCCACCCAGTCTGCCGCAGCGAAACTTCCAGCACCTTCCTGAGGAGCAGGCTGGGGCCTGGGCAGCTGCTTCCTGCTGACTGGCACAGCGGAGCCTGGGCACCTGTGTTGTCCACAGCCATGGCCTCCACCACCCTCCCCTCCTGCTGCTTCTGTCACCAGGTGCAGTAGCAACCAGCAGCGTTTTCCAGGCCCTTACTGTCTCAGTCAATGAAGTGGTCAGGACCATCTGTGGATGTGAAAGATGACTGTTTATTTTAGAGTACAAATCAGAAGAAAAGGAAAAGCGCAAAAGAAGTGCTCAGGGAGAAAAGAGGGCTTTGAAGGAAAAAGAAAAATATGTGTTGCAATCACGGTTGACACCGACAGGAACAAGGGGCAGCATCGCAGTCAGTTTCTGCTGTCTTTCTCTGTCTTCTTTAATAGTTGGTCCAGGCAGTTGCACTTGATCTCATGCTGGAAGATTGGCAGCAGCTGCCAGGCTCAGGGGCTGCTGCTCTGCACCCATAGTCCGCAAGTCTCTTGAATCAGCAGGTTCTGCCCAACTACCTCTGCTCCCCAGGATCCTGCCATAGCTGTTCCCCATGGGCCACCTTTGCACATTGGCCCTGTCCTTCCTTCAACCAAGGCACCCCCACCCCCAGCCAGACTGACTACTTGGCAGCTGCTATGAACTAACTGGGCATTTGTCCCCCATGATTCAGATGTTCCCCCCAGCTGCTGGGGTGATGGGATTTGGAGAGGTGTGTGGGAGCAGCAAAGCCCTCGTGAAGGGGCTTAGTGCCCTTGTAAGTAGAGAAGAGAGAGAAGATCCCCTCTCATGAGGTCCTCCCTGGAAGCCCACCCCGCCAAAGCCTGTATCCCAGACTTCCCAGCTCCACACCTGTGTGCCTGCGGCCCTGAACCCAGCCCACCCACTCTGATTTTAACTGTAAAATGGACAATAATGAAACCCAAAAACAAATTTGGAAGATTTTGAAATACTATTTAATTTCCTGACATTTTCTCTCTATTGCTTAAATTAAGCCTAAAAATTCCTAATAAAACTAGAGAGAAAGAAGCCAGGATGAGGAGAAATGACTCCAAGCCACTCAACCAGATACAGAGGTAATCTGTGTGACTAAGGGCCTCATCACCAGGCTGTCACTTAGCCTCTCTGAGCCTCCATTTCTTCATCTACAAAATGGAATAACACCAGCACTCAGGAGGCTGAGGCAGGAGGATTGCTACAAGTTCAAGACCAGCCTGAACTACATAGTGAGACCCTGTCTCAAAAAAACAAAACAAGGGCCGGGGATTTAGCTCAGTGGTTCCAACGCCTGCCTTGCAAGCGCAAGGACTGGAGTTCAATCCCAGGTACCAAAAAAACAAACAAAAAACAAAACAAAACAAAACAATCTCAGCACTAGGGAGACTGAGACAGGAGGTTGCTGCAAGTTTGAGGCCAGCCTGGTCTACATAGTGAGTTCAGGCCAGCCTGAATTACATAGTAAAACCTTGTCTCAAAGAAACAAGAACAACAACCACCAAAAAACCCCAGCAAAACCAAAAAAAGTGGGGATAACAGCACCTGCTTCTAGGGTGGCTCTGAGGATTCAATGAACTTGTGCAGCCCAAGTGCATGAATAGGGCCAGGCACCTGTGTCCGACTCAAGATGCTGGTGTTGCTATGTTAGCAGATCATCTGGTTTCCTGAGGCCCTGTGACATCCAGACCGGTTCGAGGATGGACAGGAGGGCACATTCCCTTTCTGAGAGGATGGGGGTAGGGTATGTAAACATCATTTCCCCACACAGGGATGTGGCTGC